AATGGTGACGTAGGACTACGGGGTCTTATATAATAAATCTTATTTGTTAACTGCAGCATGAGCTTGTGTTTTGTTTAGGAATAGGAATTTGAGCGGGGTTCTCTCTGTTTATACTCTATAGTATGACGCGCTTGACATAGATGGCCCACAGCGACTCACGAAGAGCTACTGATTCCGATCAATAGCGGTGCAGCTTCTTCCTCCTTCTATGGATGCTCATGTGAGCTTGTGTACTGGAGAACAATGTTCAACGCCACGCGTCAAAAGCACTGCTGCTGCTGATGATGATGATGCCAACGAAAGGACACCACCACAAGCGGTGATTGAAAATTAATCCGATCAGCGGTTGAGGCCAGCTTTGATAGCTAGCTGCTTGTGGGGAGCCTTTCGTTGTATGCTGGAGAACACCACCACTCACCACGCGGTGATTGAATAAACACTGTTTGGGGAGACCGGATGGAATTCAACTTTGAAATCAATGTTAGGGAAATCGCTTTTCGCAGGCAATCGGTGACCATTTTAATTATCATAGCAACAGTTGTACATTCGTGCAGTTTTCAATAGTGACATTTCTAAAAATGGTAAAGTCTTGAATTAAACAGATGCGTATAAATATTTCTGATATATTGGTGGTAAATTGTTGAAATTGGTCCAGGGGTAGCTGAGTAATTAACGTGCCAAATCTTTCATAATTGTGTTACATGTTCCATTTTTGGTTTTCACAAAGTGTACTCCCATATATGTAGAAACCACAGATGTAGTCCTACGTAAAAAATAGCTTATTCAGTTTTCAATCAGCTCAAATTGTTTGCTGGGAGGCCTCCTAGGCCATGTTTTGAGGATTTCGGAGACAACTTAAATACTACTAGGCCAATTCTAAAGGTCATCAGAAGACCAATTTCGAGCAGAAGCCCAAAAAAACTGTGAAGGCAGCTCCTTAGCATTTCCGTCAGGAGATCTTTACAACCAACACTAGAAGACAGGTTGAAGTTTGAGAAACTTTGACTCTATATGACTTCCAGGGATTCTAATATACAGGGCTTTATGTTAATATTCAGAAAATTTTGAAAGGGAGGTCCAGGGGTCTTTGAAGCCAAATTCAGAAGACATCAACTCAGAGGAACCCAAAGTCCAATGTAAATGATTTAGAAAACTGACTTCAGAAAACTTTGAAACACGTAGTACTTAGGGTTAACTACCCCATTTCCGGGCTATTAAGCACAACCCGCACTTAGTCTTCCTTAATCTAGCGCAGTTTAGCACCAAACGGAATGTTATTATTACTGATGGCCTTCAAATTTATTTACCTGCCAAAATGGGCGATTAGGCCGAAGTAATTTTCTACCCTACCTAGAGGACTTCTGGATCAAGTACAGACGACATCAGAATCTATGTTCCGCAAGACAACTATAAACACTTTAAAAGACTTCAAACTTCTGTACAAACTTTTGTACAGCCTAAAAGCTGATTAAGCATCTTTGTGGCTTCGTTGGCTGAATAAGCTACAATACAGCAGTAACCAGACTTGGACTTGGAATTAAAAACTAACTAACTAACTAACTAACTAACTAACTAACTAACTAACTAACTAACTAACTAACTAACTAACTAACTAACTAACTAACTAACTAACTAACTAACTAACTAACTAACTAACTAACTAACTAACTAACTAACTAACTAACTAACTAACTAACTAACTAACTAACTAACTAACTAACTAACTAACTAACTAACTAACTAACTAACTAACTAACTAACTAACTAACTAACTAACTAACTAACTAACTAACTAACTAACTAACTAACTAACTAACTAACTAACTAACTAACTAACTAACTAACTAACTAACTAACTAACTAACTAACTAACTAACTAACTAACTAACTAACTAACTAACTAACTAACTAACTAACTAACTAACTAACTAACTAACTAACTAACTAACTAACTAACTAACTAACTAACTAACTAACTAACTAACTAACTAACTAACTAACTAACTAACTAACTAACTAACTAACTAACTAACTAACTAACTAACTAACTAACTAACTAACTAACTAACTAACTAACTAACTAACTAACTAACTAACTAACTAACTAACTAACTAACTAACTAACTAACTAACTAACTAACTAACTAACTAACTAACTAACTAACTAACTAACTAACTAACTAACTAACTAACTAACTAACTAACTAACTAACTAACTAACTAACTAACTAACTAACTAACTAACTAACTAACTAACTAACTAACTAACTAACTAACTAACTAACTAACTAACTAACTAACTAACTAACTAACTAACTAACTAACTAACTAACTAACTAACTAACTAACTAACAGAAATACAGATATACAAAAATACAGAAATACAGAAATACAGAAATTCAGAAATAAAGAAATTCAGTTATAAAGAAATTCAGAAATACAAAAATAAAGAAATTCAGAAATACAGAAATACAGAAATACAGAAGTACAGAAATACAGAAATACAGAAATACAGAAATACAGAAATACAGAAATACAGAAATACAGAAATATACAGAAATACAGAAATACAGAAATACAGAAATACAGAAATACAGAAACACAGCAATACAGAAATACAGAAACAAAGAAATACAGAAATACAGAAATACAGAAATAAAAAAAAAACAGAAATACAGAAATACAGAAATACAGAAACACAGAATTACAGAAACACAGAAACCCAGAAATTCAGAAATAAAGAAATACAGAAATACAGAAATACAGAAATACAGAAATACAGAAATACAGAAATACAGAAATACAGAAATACAGAAATACAAATACAGAAATACAAATATATAGAAAAACAAAAATACAGAAATACAGACATACAGAAACACAGACATACAGAAATACAAAAATACAGAAATACAGAAACACAGAAATACAGAAACACAGCAATACATAAATACAGAAACAAAGAAATACAGAAATACAGAAATACAGAAACACAGAAATACAGAAATACAGAAATGCAGAAATACAGAAACACAGAAATACAGAAACAAAGAAAAACAGAAAAACAGAAATACAGAAACACAGAAATACAGAAATACAGAAATACAGAAATACAGAAATACAGAAATACAGAAACACAGAAATACAGAAAAACAGAAATACAAAAATACAGAAATACAAAAATACAGAAATACAGAAACACAGAAGCACAGAAATACAGAAATATAGAATAACAGAAACACATAAATACAGAAATACAGAAATACAGAAATACAGAATAACAATATTCAGAAATACAGAAATACAGAAATACAGAAATACAGAAATACAGAAACACAGAATAACAATATTCAGAAATACAGAAATACAGAAATACAGAAATACAGAAATACAGAAATACAGAAATACAGAAATACAGAGCAAATATAGAAATACAAAAATATAGAAAAACATAAATTCAGAAATACAGAAATACAGAATTACAGAAATACAGAAATACAGAAAAACAGAATAACAATATTCAGAAATACAGAAATACAGAAACACAGAAACACAGAAATACAGAAATACAGAAATACAGTAATACAGAAATACAGAAATACAGAAATACAAAAATACAGAAATACAGAAACACAGAAGTACAGAAATACAGAAATATAGAATAACAGAAACACATAAATACAGAAATACAGAAATACAGAAATACAGAATAACAATATTCAGAAATACAGAAATACAGAAATACAGAAATACAGAAACACAGAAGTACAGAAATACAGAAATATATAATAACAGAAACACATAAATACAGAAATACAGAAATACAGAAATACAGAAATACAGAAATACAGAAATATAGAACAACAGAAATACAGAAATACAGAAATACACTGGAGTCGCTTTTTACGCGGTTTTTTTTACACGGTTTTTTTTACGCGGTTTTTTTTCGTGGATTTCGGAATTTACGCTTGTTTTTTGTACGCGGATTCCGGAATTTACGCGTTTTTTTTTACGCGGATTTTAGTTTTTTTTACGCGGATTTCAGAATTGACGCGGTATATCGCTTTTTACGTGGTTTTTTCTTACACGGTCTTTTTTTACGCGGTTTTTTTTACGCGGATTTCGGAATTTACGTGGTTTTTTTTACGCGGGACGTATCACCCGCGTAAAAAGCGACTCCAGTGTACAGAAATACAGAAATACAGAAATACAGAAATACAGAAATATAGAATAACAATATTCAGAAATACAGAAATACAGAAATACAGAAAAACAGAAATACAGAAATACAGAAATACAGAAATACAGAAATACAGAAATACAGAAATACAGAAATACAGAATTAAATAAAGGAAAAAAGTAGGATAGAAATAAAGAAAGAAAGAAATACATTAATGATGAACGAATGTTTCTTTTGATGAACCTCCGGATGTTTCTTTTGAAACTTGCTCAAGACTTCCTCTGCTAGGTTCTTCTGACTTCCTCTGGAAGTTTCTTTTGACTTTCACCGGAAGATTCCTGCAACGTTTCCTGCAAGTTTATTCCTGCTTTTTCTCAAGTGCTTCTGGCTTCGGCCTGTTTTATCCAGACTTGCTTAGAAAGTTCCTTCTGAAAGAAAGCGGACAATTTCTGCGATTTCTCCAGGAAGCTCCGTCTGAATTCCCCAGACTGACTTGCCCCGGAATTGAGTGCCGATTTCCTCTAGAAGTCTCAATAAACATCTTCCCGCTTGCCCTGGATGTTTATCTTCCGACAGAGTCGATCAGCTTCCTTTAAAAATTTCTTCAATAGTTCTACACAGAGTAAATTTCCCGGTCGGTGTAGGATATCTACAAAATTATATATTTAGCATGCCTTTTTACCAGAAAATTGAACTAGCATCCCTACAATTGGAAAACGCGATTTTGGGTGCCATTCGCGGAAATTGCACTTCTTTACCCACGAAGTAATGTTCTCTAAATAAAAAAAACACACCTGCGCCTGATTTTCCTTAACATTTCCTCTTAAACTCAAATAAATATATTTCGGTAATACATCACAAAATACAACCAGCAACCAACTTTCCGAAGCTCGAGACGGTACGAGTGGACGGATTTGACAGCCAAACAACAGTGTGTGCGTGTGTGCGAATGAGCACATTTGGTTTTGATCGTTCGATCGTTGCAAACATCGCCACAGCCTGCTCCGTTCAGAGTGACTGCACGATCTGGAACGGGAGGAAAGAGAAAGGGCAAAAAAGGAAGGTTGGCGAGGGTAGGTACAGCAAATTTCAAGGGTCTACAGGTCTAAACCAAAGCCAATGGGAATGGTCGTCGGGGAACACGAAACGGTCGCATGTACTGCCATGAAATGAACATAGAGAGGGTAAGGATGAGATGAGATTTTAGGGGAAAATACTTGCTGGCGACGGTACCAGTGAAGAGTTGCAGCTCTTAAGGATTCCTCGGAGGAGCGTCACATCGTCCGGGGTCAGCGACCAGCCGCTGAGCTGACCCAGACTCTGCAGCTCCGGACAACGGTCCATCAGGATCTGCAAAAAAAAAGTACCGATAGGTTGGGGTTTTAATTAGCACAATTTATTGAAGCTCACCTCAACGCTCACAATGGACATGTGCGGAGCGGTCGTGAACCAGACGTCCTCCAGTTGGTAGAAGTCCTTTTCGATCATCAGCGAGCTGAAGTCTTCGTCGTTGAAGGTGACGCTATCGATGGCTAGCCGTTTCAGCGTGGTGGAAAGGCTAAGGAAGTCGCGCAGTCCGTGCTGTGAGATGGGACTGCTAAGGATTTCCAAACCTTGCATATCCTGGAAACCATGATCACCGGAGAAGGTCAACGAGTCCATCATGTAGAAATCCAGATCGACGAGATTCGGGCAGCAGCGAATCAGGCGGTGGATTTCCATCGTGCCGCGACCTTTGATGAGCGTGAGGTGTCGCGTGTAGTTACCAATCGATTCGAGCAGTGTGAGCAGTTCGGAGCAGTTGAATTTGTAGAGTTTCAGCCGACGGAGATTGAGTTTGGTGAGCTTGTGGAGAATGTTTGATTCGGGGGAGTCTATGTAGAGATCTTGCAGGTTCGGACAGGTGTCGACGATGGCATTCATCGTCTTCGCTTTGGTACTCGTATCGTGGAGGTAGGCTAGTTTACACCGGAAAGCAGGATCTTTATGTTCGAGGATGTAGAGAAGGCTTCGACCGACGAAGGAGTAACTGACCAGGCTGACTAGGTTGGGTAGGTTCATGAGTAACATTGCGACATCGGTGTGGCAAACGTTCTCCTCGCCAAGTGAACCGATGTCCAGCATCGTCAGTTTGCTCCTCGACTCACCATAGCATAGGTATTCCAGTCCGATATCGGTGATGTCCGTGTCGCCACTGATATCCAGCTGCCGGAGGTTCTTTGAGTAGTCGCTTAAGTGCTTGAGTAGGTTATCGTTGGCAATGTGCGGTATCGTAAGTTTGGTCAAGTTCGGTAGATGCTTGATTATTTCGTACATGTAGCACATGAATTCTTCCTTCACCCAGACTCCCTTCATGTTGAGCTGCCGCAGCCCTCGTCCCTGGGTGGCAATCACCTGCAAGATCCTTTCGTAGTAGGCGAACGGAAAGATTTCGGTCATGAGCGTAAGGACAGCTTCGTTCAGCAGCGTTTGCAGGCAACAGAAGCGAATCACGGCTTCTAGCGAATCGGAGCACAAAATCACCCGAAGCAGGTCTTCGTAGATGGGGCTGGTGGCTCCCATGGTTTCCATGTACGACTTGATCTCCACCATTAGAATGGTGAAATCCGGTTCCACTCCGAAGTTGAACGTCGTCTGGAGCATGCCGCCGAAAGCACCGACGATGGAACCGGCCAGTTCCGCAAGCGCTATCTGGCCGAGCGTTCGAACGGGTAACTTCCGCGACATCTTGTGAACTTGACACTTGAAATCTTTTCCGATTTAGGACAAGCAAGCTGACATGTCACCAGCTGAGAGGAACTTGACGAAGAAAATTTTTCAGCTACGTTGTTTCACCTCGCGATTCTAAACAAAAATAGACGCTGGCGCATGCGCCCACCGATAGAACAGTGAGATTCACGCGCCTATTCGAAGTTGATCGCGCCGACCGATGGCGTTATATAACGAAGGGAATGCGTGGTGAAAGTTAACAATTATCACAAGGGGGAAGGTGAGCTTCGTGGAATTCACTCGCGGAGATTGTCGCACGTGACGCGGTTTTAGAAAGGTGCTGCCCAAGCTGATGGAAGGAAACGGCGCAGAACACCGATCAGACACGGGAGAACGACGGCAGATGACTACCCTGAAGCTATCAGGTGGGGACGAACCCTTCGACTACATATCTGTTTGTGTTTTCGAAGGGGGCCTTCGTTAAGTTTTATTTTTAGATTGCATCGTAGCATGCGCACGATAAAAGCGTCCCCTCCTCGGCGCTTCTAGTTTGTTAGTAAACAAAATCCAAGAAGGCCTGCTTGCCCGGTTCGAAATTGGGACGAGTTCCAAGCCTGCCTACTGCGATGATAAGAGCTCACCACCAACACGATGATGACGTTGTAAGTCTTCCATGGTTTACGACAACAATAGAACCACTTTTCCAACCGAAACAGTCGAAGCAATTTGATTTTATTACTAGATCCTACCATTTTACAGAGAGGGGCGCCGGGGAAAAGAGGCTGCGTAACGCACATGACACACATTTTCAGTGTTTTCTTTTCTCCCATCGCACACAACAACGACGCACTTGTCGTTGTCTGCCTGTTGTAGGGTGTTCCGCTTGTGTGATTGAGAAATTCGACACCCTTCATGGCGACTGATCCAAGTAGGCTGCTGCTGCAGCAGCAGACTGGAAGGCTGCCGTCTACCGTCAACAACAATGGAGAAATGTGGGATCCGTTTTACGATGGCGGCATTTACGGGCTTGATGAAGAGTTTTGATTTACGACCGCGATGACTCTAAAAAGTAATCTAATGAAAACGCTGTTGAAAGGTTATGAAGTGGAGCATGAAATGTCAACTTTTTTTTCTCCCGTCAAATTGCCTGGAGTGTATACCGTTCAAACCCAGTTTCGATAAACCCGTCCAGTTTATCGCATAATCCTCCTCCTGCACCTTGCTGAAAGCTTTTCCATACGATTTACGATTCAACCGACTGGTTTTCTCATTACCATCGAAAACTCCCTCTCTCTCGTTCGCATCGCAAAGCATCTAACAATTGCCATAGAAAAGAAGCAAAAAATATCGTCCATCCAGTCGTTCCAGTCAGTACCATGGCAGAGCAGAGATTCTCCCAATCACCCCTTCCCGTGACAGTGACCTTCTCCTTATCCCATCTAGCTGTGCCAGCAAAAACATCTCTTTCGAGAAAGCACACAAGACTCGAAAAAAAACTGGTCCGACAAAACAACAAACGACGGCAGGTGTTCAACTTTACTTGTTGAAAACTTGCATTCCGTCTTTAGCATCCCTCTGCCGTCTTCTCCTCCGTCAGATATGGCTTGATCTCTCCCTCGGCCGCCCTCATCGTCTTTGGCTTCAGCAGCTCTTTGTTTGTGTTATCTCCAGCTAGCTGGCATCCCTATCTTGTTTGCCTTGCCTTGAAAAGAGCTAACATCGCTGCGGACCCGCGAATTGCGGGCCCCACTGACAGCTCATAATTTGTAAACAAATAGAAGATTCAAGCCAGAATTTCAAAAAAGGCGTGACTGATATTATGGATATTCTTAATATTTTTGCTTGCATTTTGTGAAAAATAAACTTAGGACTCATAAAATATTATTTTCTGATTTTCTTCCACGAAGTCAACCATTTATATGGCATAAAAGGGGAAATAATTTCATTTGATAAAAATAAGACAATTCAGTCACGCCATTTTTGCAGTTCACACTGGAATTGTGACGTTTCAGATGTTGGTTTCAATAACACGGCAGCATGCCAGCCAGCTGGTTATCTCCAACTTCATTTTCCACTCACCTGAACATTAGCAGCAGAAGCACCGTCGTCACTCGCCGCAACTTCTGCCCTTTTGTCTTTCGAGCCAGTCTTTGCTCTTCCCGGTTGCTCCCATGCACTACTCCCCCGGCGATGATGCGGGCTGCCCTTCGAATCTTTGGATCGGTTCTGGCTGGTTGTATTTGTTTTGATTTTCTCTTCGTTCATATTCCGTCCGGTTTGCGCACTTTAATTTATCAGATTTCAATTTAAAACTGGCACTTTTTCCAAGAATCTGGAACGCAGTGCCGCCGCCGTCTCAGGTTACCATGATGTGTTGGTGTGTGCGATCAACTGTCACCCCCCGCAATTTGGATGTAGATGGATGGATGGATGGATGGTGCTAACGGCCGATGCACTCCATCACTCGCGGACGGTGCATTGTTGACAAACAATGCCATTTTCGAATCGGGTCTTGTGCGCGAAATTGGACAGCAAAACTCGGTCGGGGTGGGTCCACCGTGGCATTAAGTATCCATTAACCTGGTTTTTTGCCCTTCTTAAAAGCTCCGGCAATCGAAGGGTCTTGGGTAGAGTCCTAAGCCGATAGGTTTGTTGGAACTTCACGATTACTGCGAATGCACGGTACTCAAAAAACTACTGGAACCGCTCAGACTTCCTCCACGACCAGGTGTTAGGATTTCTTCCAAACCAACTCCATGAAAAATCAGCCAAAGTTTTTGGACTGATCAAAGCTGAAATATATTCACATTCGATAACTTCTTCTTAACACTTTTTAACCTCAATTAGCTACTTACAAATTTAGTTTTCAATCCGAGTTTCAATCCTCTTGCAGATCGGATTCCGTTCGGTACTAGCGTTAGCGTTAGCGTTGTTGTTATGATGTACTTCGAAGATTGGATACTAGCGACACTCACGTCTCTTCTGAAATTCTCAGTTAGACTACTTTCAGGAATAATGCTGGGGAGTAAACATTGGTTCCAATCTAAACAAGAGTAACAGAAGCATGACTACCGCTATTCCCGGCCACGCCCATCTTTACCATAACTAGGGATAGGGAAGGAAATGTTGATGTAGTACTTACTTAACGAGTGGCCACCGGATTCCGTTCGGTACTAGCAGCCACTAACTAGCTTTAGAGATTTTTCCAACAAATTGTGTTTAAGTAATTTCAATAGAAAATTTTACCACTGCTTATGTGCCTGCTCTGCGGTTTAGGTCGCAACATACCCCGGCTCGTGAACCTGGTCCGGTGCTCACATTCGGTCCAGCGTCACCCTCATTTAAAGGGCGAACACGAAATTATTGCGACACCGAAAATGTCATGCCAATTTTCTTATAATGTTTAGAATCAATCCAAAATTTTAGGGTAGTTTTATACATATATTTACTTCAAAAATCAAAAGAAAAGTTAATCGATGGAGCCTTGAGTGTAAAATTGAACGCATTTTCGCTTAATGCCCTCCATCAAAGTCTTTACAGTGTCATCCGGTACCAGTTTCTCAGTTTTTTTTTCCATTTTTTTAACATGTCCTTCTCTTCTTTGACTGTCTTCTTGCTCTTCCGAAGTTCCCGCTTCATTATTGCCCAGTACTGCTCCACCGGGCGCAGCTCCAGACAATTTGGCGGATTTATGTCCTTTGGAACAAAATGGACAGAATTGGCCTCATACCACTCCAGGACACTTTTCGAATAGTGGCATGATGCCAAATCTGGCCAAAATAGCGGAGCTTCGTCGTGCTGCTGCAAGAACGGCAAAAGGCGCTTCTCGAGGCACTCAGATTTGTAGATCTCGCCATTTACTGTGCCCTTTGTCACGAAAGGCTCACTCCTCAGTCCGCAAGAGCAGATGGCCTGCCAAATGAGATATTTGGAGGCGAACTTCGACATTGTCTTCTTCTTAAATTTGTCGTCCACATCGAACTTGCTCTTGCCGGTGAAAAACTCCAACCCCGGAATTTGCTTAAAATCGGCTTTTATGTACGTTTCGTCGTCCATCACACAGCAGCCATATTTTGTCAGCATCTTCTCGTAGAGCTTCCGTGCCCGAGTTTTAGCCGTCGATTGTTGCCGCTCATCTCGGTTTGGGAAGTTCTGTACCTTGTATGTATGTAGTCCAGCTCTCTTCTTTGCATTCTGGACGTAGCTCTGCGACATGCCGATCTTTTTAGCCAAATCACGGCTTGAGAAGTTAGGATTTGCTTTAATCATCCGCTTCACCTTTCCCTCCGTCTTTTTTTTCTCCGGTCCCGGTTTTCTTCTAGCTCCTTTGCCGTGGTCCAACATCAACCGCTCCTGGAACCGCTTCAACACTCTGGAGACGGTTGAATCACAGACAAACAGACATAACACTCGCGAGATGTTCATTGAACAAGCATTTATCGGTCAATTTAAAAGTATCTTAGTTGGTAGTACCGCCACCTGTGGCGCGCATAGTCAATTCCCTTGCGTTTGACGTTTCCACACTACCGCCATCTGTTCAGCGTACTACCCACCACAGTGTACTCAACAGATGGCGGTAATGTTTTAACGACGATGTTTTACAGTGAGAATTATTCAATGCGTTATGTCTGTTTGTCTGTGGTTGAATGGTGAATGTTCAACATTTTTCCCAACTGCCGGTGCAACAGGTCAGGAAATTCCAGGTGTTTGGAAAGAATTTGTTCTCTCAACTCGCGTTGGTTCACCTCCATTTTCGTTGAATCGAAAAACACGACTTCGAGTTTGACAGCATGTACACAATACACATCAATGAGAAAGTGTGCAAAATTTTGTTGATTTTTACCCAATGGTAAAAAAGTTATGCCCTGTTGAATGTGTCGCAATAATTTCGTGTTCGCCCTTTATCGGTTCCTCAACAATCCCACACACCCAACACTTCCGCTTGTCACCGTCAACGATGTATGTAGACCAAGTCACCTTTCTTCAAGTTCGCTGCTTCGCCATACCACTTGGTACGCTTATTGATGGAAGGAACATATTCTTTTACCCACCTCTTCCTCATCTCGTCAGCTATCTCCTGCGATCGCTGATATGAGTCCCGCAGGGCTACGGCTGAATTAACGGGAGGTACGCTGTACCTTGGTTCGTTCGGAGCGACTCCACGGAGGAAATGGTTGAGACTCAACGCTTCGAAGTGATCTGATTCATGCGCCACGTACGTAAGTGGACGGCTGTTGATGATATCCTCCGCTTCGGCTATCGCAGTCACCAGGATTTCATCCGTCAGTCGCTTCCCATCGTTTATCGTCTCCAACACTTGCTTCGTGGAACGAACGAGTCTCTTCCAGACTCCGCCCATGTGGGGCGAAGCCGGAGGATTGAAGTTCCACTTCATACGAGCAGATGTTACCTCCGCTGAGCAATCTACGTT